GGACCCTTAACTTACTGTTGTTGAAAAAAAAAATCCAAATTTATTTTCATTTTTAAATTACGTTCAAATTCGGCCATATGGGCAAATGGCCAAAAGCTACGTTCTTTTTAAGAGGACATGTTGATCGTCAAAACATCACCCCAAAGAGAATGACGACAATTGAAATCACCCAGCAGGAGCACAGGCTCCGGCAAGGAGTTCAGTAGGTGTTTCAGATCTGGAATAGAAAGCGGGACACTTGGGGGGGGGGGGGGTGATAAATGGAACAAACTGTGTACCATTCCCCACAAATATACGAGCAGCAGAATAATGGAGAGGAGAAGGAAAAAGTAAGGGGACAAAGGGAACATCAGAGCGAATCAAGAGAGCAGAAGAATTGATAGTCTCCGTGGTGTAGTGGTAAGACACTCGCCTGGCGTTCCGCGAGCGCTATGTCATGGGTTCGTATCCTGGCCGGGGAGGATTTACTGGGCGCAATTCCTTAACTGTAGCCTCTGTTTAACGCAACAGTAAAATGTGTACTTGGATGAAAAAACGATTCTTCGCGGCAGGGGACCGTATTCCAGGGACCGTAGGATTAAGGACTTGCCCGAAACGCTACGCGTACTAGTGGCTGTACAAGAATGTAACAACTCTTGTATATATCTCAAAAAAAAAAAAAAAAAAAAAAAAAAAAAAAAAAATTAGGAGCCCCAGCAACAGCTGTGGGGGGGGGGGGGGAGAAAGGAATAGCCACGAAAGCGACCAGGACGAGCACCAAGCATCGGCTCCTGGAGACAGACACAAAGGGGCGAAAACCGCGAAATCAGAAGTTGGAGTTCGAGGAAATTGGTGTAATAACCTCGAACGTTCCATTGAAGAATAGACATCGACGAGAAGAGAAAGGACAACAACAGAGAACAAGGAAGAAACAAAGGCGAAAGAGCAACATAGCATGTTAAAGAATATCAGAGTCAGGATCAGGGTCAGCAAAGTCAGGGTTAGGGGGCATGGGTAAACTGAGCAAAGACAGAGGGAAGGAAGCGGGAGAACAGACCAGAGGTGGGCGGTCGGGGTTCGGAGGAGGAAGAGGAGGAGACAGTGGAGAGGAGCAGTCAACGACAGCAGCAGGAAGAGGAAGAGTAGAAAGAGGGGAGCACACTTCAGCAAGGGCAGCAACCGAGAGGGAAGCGGAGGCCAAAGAAACCTCCATAGCAGGAACAGGGGGCGCAACCATTGGAATGGGAGGGGAAGGAGCAATAGAGCCAGTAGTAGGGGCCGAGGAAGAAAGCGAAGCCTTCTTTCCCGCCGGGGAGGAGGAAGGAGAGGAGCCAGGCATACGCTTCTGACTTAAAGAGACCGGCGTCCCAGCAACTACGCACCGGGCAACAGATTCCAGCGTCTCAACAGGAGAAGCTGAACGAAAGCACACACGACGGCCGTTAAGAGAGTGATGGACATCAGCCTGCACCAACAGGCCGCGGGGAGAGTCAATAGATGCAGGAGAAGGATGGGAAGGAGGATCGGAGGGAGACGAGGAAGAAGACACAAGAGACATGACAGACCGGGTAGAAAGAAGGGGAACCCCAGACAGAGGACCAGGAGGGGGACCCTTCGGGACAGAACTCAAAGGAACAGAGGAGGGGGCAGGTGGCATATCAGGGTCCAAGGCCCGGAAACGGTTGTGAATCCGAGGAAGGAAACGAAGAGCGCAACACGTGAGCATAAGAGACGTTAGCATAAGCCGGCAAACCTGGCGCCTTGCCTCAGGAAAATATAAACGCTCCCGGTGTTTCAAGTTGAGGACGGCCGCTTCAAGCTTGTAATGGATACAGGCACGGGAGAAGGTAGGGTGGGCCTCACCGCAGTTGAGGCAGCGAGCCTGGGGAGAAGTGCACTCCGACTTAGAGTGACCTTCACCCCCACACAAAGGACAGAGAGAGACAGTCCCAGAGCAGCGAAGGGCACCATGCCCAAATCTCCAGCACTTGTTACATAGCCGAGGAGAAGGAATATACTCCTGGACAGAGTACCTGGCACCAGCAAGAATGACAGAGGATGGAAGGGTCCTACCATCAAAGGTGATCTTCACAACCCAAAGGGGCTGACGGCGACGACCACGAGGGGGACGAGTAAACGAGTCTACCTGGAGGACAGAATGACCTTGAGCATCAAGGAGATGCCGAATGTCATCGTGGCAGTCCTGTAGATTCCGAACACCGGTTGCAACATGGGGCGGGAGGAGAATAGTGCCAACACTGGCATTCAACCATTTATTCTTTGAGACCCGAACAGGGATCTCGCCAAGGCAGGATAAGGCAGCCAAGCGGGAAGCTGCATCCTGAGAAGGAGCAGCAACAACAAGTGTACCGAGACGAGTGGGGTTGAAGGTAACAGACGCATCCACGGAATCAACAAGATGCCGATGGAGGGAGAAACTGTCAAGAGGCGCAGAATCAAGAGGGAGGAGATCAAAGTATTTGGCCCCTGAAGCGGGACGAAACAAGATCTGATACGCATCAGTACGGGAAGGAATCCAGCGAGTGCGGCCGTGGCTCGGACGGCGTTGAGAACCCCCAGAGAGAGAGGGGTCAAAAGGCGCAGTAGTCACAACGAGAGACTTAGCCGCACCAGGGGACGAAGTGGTCACCACTGGGGGCTGGAGGCTTGACCCAACCACAAAAGAGGGAGGGGAGCTGGGGGAAGAAGTCAGGATGGTCAAAGGAGGAGCAAGGTCGGGGCCCAACGCAGCGGGGGCTACAGAGCCCGGTCTTCCAATACAGGCCAACTCGGGTGCTTGGTCGCCCACCCCACGAGCCTGAGAGGGTACAACAGAAACATTCATCGACATATAGATGAAGAGAAAGAAATTCATCCACGAATGTGCCCCCATACCCACCATGGAGCCACAATTAGAGGCAGGACACCCAACAGGAAGCTATCGCCGATCATGCCGGGGCCCCCTAGGGGTGCGTCGTGAGTATACGCCCCACAAACGCCACCTTAAGAACCGTCAGTCCGTCGAGATCTAGTTCAGCGACGAAAGGAGGATTGACAATAAAATGTTCCCCTCGCTCGAGATGTCAGGTACTACAGTTCTACGGGTTCAAGAGTATGCCTCCTCAAGCACCCGGGCGTCAAAATAGAAGAAGTCCAAAGGAATAACCAAAACAAGCAAAAGGTCGGCAGGAAACGACAAGCAGAGAGGAGGAGAGGGGTTAGAAAAACGAAACATAAGGAAAAGCGATCCAGCACAATTAGAGAAGACAGCAGCAGGAGTGCAAGGCCACAAAAGGACAGAGGACTGCCCCACGGAGCATCACACTCCGGCAGCCGTCCACTAAGCCCCCTCACGGCGCCAACGAGCCGGATGGGGAGGGGGATTGGCTCGTAGAATTTCGCACCTTGCAATGCATCTCATTGCTATCCATAATTTAACCGTAGTCGTATAAAGCAGGCATACACCCCACAGCTTCAAAAGTTTCTCAAGAACTATCCCTTTCTCAGAGTAAATGGGAAAACCGTCTATTTTTTAGTATTTCTTGCCATCAAGCTTTTCACTCCAGCGACTACCCACACACCAATGGTAGACAACTGTTTCTTATACGAGAGTGTGACAGACACTAACACAGAGACAGGGAGAAGCAAACATGCAGAGGCAGAAACACACAAAAATACAGACAGTTGATGGATGGATAGACGGATGGATAAATGGATATATATACTGATAGTTTGGATGGATTCATGTATAGATGGGATACATTGATAGTTTGATGGATGGATATAGGTTGATTGACAAAAATATGGTATATTGATGGATAGAGAGACACATTATGTAGATTCATGGATAGATAGAGGGACGGATTATCTCTAATTAGTCAGTGTTTTCTTTTTGCGTTTATGCTCATTCATTTCTATGCAAGCTTTAATTAAATTATGTAATTCGTTTTGTGCAAGAAGCCTTCAACTCAGATTTATGCCTTACTTTTCAACTTTCCCAACACCTCAAACCTCAACTCTCTCCTTTCCATTTACTGAATATTGATTTTGTTCACTTCATTTATCTTTTTTCGGTTCGATCATTGACGTGGAAAGGACCGATACATCGCCACTTTCCATTAATGTGAGGGTTGGGGTATTTGTGAATACACAACAAAGACCACATTAGATATCACAATTTCCTAAAAAGTTTTTTAATTCATAAAAGCATACATCATTTGAAATTTTTATAGCATTTAGGAATTACCATTTAACAAATTCATTACATTTAAAAACTTCCATCATAATTGTAGTTTGTGAATGTTCAAACTTTAATAAAGAGAATGCAATAATTTGAAGTTTTTCAGGGAAAAGCCATAACTTGACTCTTGCTGGAGAGGCCTTAGGAGCTGTGTTGTCTCAGGCAACTGAGGCCTACTGTTCCGTCTTCCTCCTCTCCGATGGTAGCACGATGGGTGACCATGTCTTGAAGGTATGCTACCGACAGATTAAAGTGATTAAAGTAAAGATTAACGAACAATTCACTCTACCCACCATGAGAGTGAGAGAAAACCCGGAACGAGAAGATGCCAATGATGATGTCACTACCTAAAACTCCATGCAAACTACACCTGACTAATCATTGTAGGTATAGGTTATTTACCTATACATCTTACCTTTATTCTTCATCCCACACCTATTTGTATGTACCTCACCTCCCAGCAGCATAAATCCGATAGGCCTTCTATTCGTCACTATTGGGCTATTCATGCCCGTGGCACCTTTTGGGTGGCTTAATCTTCATCATCTATTCGTCACACACAGTTACAGCCCAGGTAAGTCTACTACGGGCTCACAATAGCCGGTTCTATTTTGAACTCTTGTTCCGAAAAGCTGAATCTAAAACAAAAAACAAACATATTCGTCACATTACGGACTATTCATGCCCGTGCCACCTCTTGGGTGGCTTACTCTTTATCAAGCAATTAATCTGTTCGCCAACCCCCCCACACACATTGCGACCGTTTGAAGGTGTGGACACAATGCGACCCAAAAGTCTAATGGTTAGAGCTATCCCCACCTTGACGATCATGCTTAAAGGGAAAAGCGATATTCTGAAGATCCTGAAGGACGTGGACGGCATCACACCCACTGACATTAGTCAGGAAGGTGATGATATCGTGCTCTTCTTTTCATGTGAGGAAAAATTAGAAAAACTCTTAACCAACGATGCCATACTTCGCAAGGATTGATTAAAGTATACAGGATTCTTCCGGCCAGGAACTGACGTGGGAAGGGAGGATGTAGGTGGTGCGTACATCCTCACGTACCATGTCAGTTCCTGGCTGAGAGAACTGTTTTTACCAGGAGGACCAACCAGTGGATCCCTGACCGACCGCAACATAAGATCATAGACAATATCGAGGACGAAAATCCGAACCTAGGTGTATTCAACCTAGAGTTCTGCAGCACCGACAAATCCTCAATGAAGATTACTTTCACCGCCATAGCTGCGGCCACACATCCAGGCAGCCACACAAGGTTTCTACTGCTTTGGCTTACAAATACAACTCCACCAAGTAAAAAAGGAACAATACCATGAGATCCAGCAGTGCTTCAAGTGCTACGAGCTCTCCCACCTCACCAACAACTGTCAACACCCCGTCCAGAAGTGTAGCCTGTGCGCATGGGACCATCACTACTCCATATGCAAATATGCAAGGCAACAACCGATCACTGCTTGGCAATCACCCAGCAATTTCCTACCGCTGCCCCTGCAGATAGGACATCATCAATACCCAGGTTGAAGCCAAGAGAAACAACCCTTCTACCTCCGCCACCAGAGCCCTTGCCTCTCAATCTACCACATCAGCTCCCACCAACCGACCAGAAGACTTTCCAGTCTTACCAATTAGTGGCTCCTCCCACCAGGCGACCCAGCTTTCACATTGGGGATCCATGGCCGAACAAGCTCCTTCGCAGTCCCCTGCATCACGTGCAGGCATTATCCCAAGTCTTATTAGACTAGCGGAGAGGATTGCCAGACCAGACAACCACCGTTTTGTCGGTGAACTGAACCCATTAAACCTAGCCAATGGCCTGGACTCCATCATAGCCCCTGGCACAAGTCTCACTGCCTCCACTACCACTCTGGAGACTACCACCAGGACGACCACGAGGTCGATTTCAACACAGACTCCAGGACCTAGATTCATGAAGCTCCATGTATTTCTTCGTAAGTATGTCTGCTACGAAGGTTCCTAAGTACCGGCTAAGGACGCGCCAAAGGGCGATTCAGAAAAGTATACGTACGAAGATTTTTAAGTAGTTCACTTGGGTCTCACTAGATGTCACTAGGGCTTTTAGTTTGACCAATCAGAGAGAAGGTAACATTTTTCATCTTACAGCTGTAGCCAATCACGACGCTGGCATTTTGGAGCTTATCTGTGATGCACTTGCTACTTATTTACGTCGAATTTTCTTAAACAATTAGTATATTTCGAAGTTAAACTATGTTTTTTCAACATTTACAGTCAGCACCAAAAATGTAGTAAACAAATATGTTACATTTTTTGTTTACCTACGTAATTCTAAAAGATAGTGTATAGCTTTCCTTGTCGCTCCCAAGATTTGAGAAGCAATGGTATTTATTTATGTATATGTTTGCCTAAATTTACCCAAGGGCCACTAACTATCTAGTGGCCTTGATGAGGACAAAAAGCCGGGGGCTTGTTAAGTCCCGCCAATTGTCCTAATGACATTTTCAAGCTGGATTTTGGCATTTACGGGTTCAACGGGTAGACGGTTCCCTGGGTTTATAACCCTCAGGGTGAAAAATCATCTGTTTTCAGTCGTACGTGAGAGGACATTCTCTCCAACACTATATCTGTGATTGCTACGTTATCAGTGACTTCTGACCAAATGGAATAAGGTACTTTGAACTCTGTAATTACTTCATACACTCAGGAATATTGGAAGATATTCTTGTGCTGTACCCAGATTTTGCTATTTGGGGCTAATAGATCAGCACTACATTTCTTATTCTCTCCTGATTCCATGTTTGACTTGTCGTCCTATGAGGTGGGGATGTTGGAGGAGCTTGTAGGTAGTTTATGATCTACACTGTAATCTTTCATGTAGAATAGGGTAGCAGCATATTGCTGTGTATACCTAAGCTTGTTAATAAAAAGGAATCAGTAATAAAGGTTTTAAGTTATAGCTTGTATTATTATTATTACCAGTATTATCCTTATTAAATCATAAATGTTAACTATGGATCATTAAGATCTCATATTGATTTGTAATATTAGTAATGTTGACCAAACCACACACTAGAAAAAAAAAGACAACAGTGTTATTAATATTTCTTGTGAATCCTTAAATTGTGCAGTATGTCTCAATTTTTTACTTCTTTGGATAAACAGTAGAAGAAAATAGGATAAACATCCCATAAATATTTGTTTCATTATATTTTCTTATTTAAATAACTGGATCAATATTCTTACAGCTGACAGGATTTGTTTTACTCACAGGTGCATTATCAGTTAAAAAAAAATTGGTTTATTGTTACACACAATGGTGCTACATAGCGTTCCCAGCTTGGTGCCTTTTGATAATTATTGTTACACACAGCCAAATTGTGTAACAGGAAGAGGTCTTGGACACAAATTTGATCCATGCTAAATGTAGAGGAATCAGCTGAGCATTACTCAAATAAAATAGCCTGCCTCAGTTTATAAGGTAAATAAAATAAGCTGCCTCAGGTTAAGGCAAATAAAATAAAATAAGCATTCCTCAAATAAGTAGCTGCCTCACCTCACTGCCTTACTGCTACATAGCCTTCCCGGCTTGGTGCCTTCTTTTGATAATTACTTATTGTTATACAGCCAAATTGTGTAACAGGAAGAGGTGTTGGACCCCTACTTCCTCCTCTCTTTTTTAAAAGGCCATAATAGTCCATATAGCCATAATTATAGGCTTCGGTATTCAATGAGAAAAGTTTTTGAAGTTTTTACCCTTATCCTCACCTAAGATCATTTGTGCAGAATATTTTTCTTTTATGTCTCACCCAGATTTAATTTCAAAATAAAACCAAACAAAATAAATTAAAAATGGGTATGTATAGCTAAGGTACACCCCCCCCTAGCTATTCTTATTACTAGGTGAATAGGGGCATTTGGTGATAGAAATGCTCCCACCAGCCCAGGTTCATCACCTTCTCTCATATTTCATGTTCACCAGTGTTTATTTACTTAATAACTACTGGTATAATATCTTGCTATTATTAAACTAGTTCTAATATCATAAAAGACATTTTACTACAAGTTTCAAGCAGAGAATGCATATATAGTTAACACAAATGACTCCGTCTTGAAACTCGCCAGCTAAAATGTTTTGTTTATAAAAAATCGATCTGTGTTGTGTAGTAGAGAAAAACTTAGTTATATCCAGTTTACTTAAAGCTACGAGTGGTCGAGGCCGTCCTTAAATCGAGGCGGTGTACTTACGAAAATTTTCCTTCTTAAATGCCTACCTGAATACCGACGTAGCCGCTACGAAGGTGCTAAGAAGAAAAATATTTGTAAGTACGTACGTAACTGCTTCATGAATCTGACCCCAGAACCACCCAAGACCCGGGTGGCACAAACAGAGGCATTTCCCTCACCAGCTCCCAACACTCCTATCTTCACCATCTCGGTAAACGTGCTGCCTACAAATACTAACAGCCCCACCAACCCACAACCACCAATTCACGATACTTAAACCTACTTCAGGCTGCGAGACGAAAGACAAAACCACCAACTACGGATGTTACGGACTCCTCATATGAGGATATCTTAGTACGAGCTCCATTGTCATAGCACAAATACGACACCTACTCGGTACCAGACCTCCTCATGGAGGTCACCTCACCAAACTCCAACGACAGCACGGCTCAGCCAAAGTCTCATGCGAAGAAAAAACGGAAGACCTGGATGTCTACATTAACCCCACCAGCTCCATAACTGGTACAGCCAGCCCTCCGAGGCTGAAATCCCCCATGAAGACCCCAATCCATCCTCAGATCTCTAGTATCAACTATTGATACTGATAATGGTTCCAAAGAGCTTCCACTTATGGGCTCCCCATAGCCTGTGCAACTTGGAACTTTTTGTTCCGAGTAGCTGAATCTAAAACAACTTGTTCGTCACAGATTGTTCATCGCGCAGTGTTGTGCAGTGCGACCATGTCCCACCAGGAAATGATTCTCCTGACCATACTTCTGAAATTATTAGGTGAGAAGGACACAATAATCTCGTGGCAAGAGCAAGGAAGATTGTTGAAAATACAGGAATAATGAACCAGAGGATAACCCTCTCACAATGAGCTACCTTGGATAATTGTAGGAAACGTAAAAGACAAATAAAAGACACCACAACCCAACCCAGACTTTCCTCTCCTATCAAGAAAGAAAGGCAACCAACGGCATATCAAGTGACTATTGTTCCAATGATTATTGCCTCCCTTACAGAGACCTTCGGCAAGATGCTTGAAAATGCATTCCAAACACTGGAACAGACCAACCCTCAATAAAGGAAGGAAATGTAAACTGAGTTAAAAAATAATCAACTGAACTTATTTCTTCCACACTTCTACAAGACCTTCCTGAAATGGTTGACGAAGTAGAAGTCGAAGAGGGCGACGGAACTTAATGGTTTCAGCACCCAATGGCAGTCTCCACTCCAGCCAGGAAGACACAAGCCGTCGGGGAAATCAGCACATTAGAAACCACCATGGACTCCATGGATTCAACTCTAACAAAATAATAGACAATCTCAAGCTTACAAAATTAAATATCCAAAGATTAAAAGCAAAGCATAAACCTCAGAGCAGTACTTTTCGAGGACAACATTGATATTGTTTTACTTCAAGAAACACTCACCAGGACTGAAAGAAGTATCAATATCCCAGGATACCAAGGTTTCCACTGCCCAGTGGCACAAAGTGGCACCAGAGGAACTTCAATACATGTAAGAAATTATATCAATACCACGGCAGTGACAGACCTGCCTAACAGTGGTGAGAACGTCGAAATTATGGGAGTTAATCTCACTGAGGAAATAAATGTTGTCAGTCTTCATTGTATACAGGACCTATACAGAACACGACATGGATCTCTCCGTAATCTT